TTTTTTATCAAAAATTAAAAAATCCTTTCAGTTTTTTGTTGAGTCTAAAAAACCAGCTAAAAAACTAGCTAAAAAACTCTTAGTTTTTTAGCTGGTTTTTAGACTCAACAAAAAACTGAAAGGATTTTTTAATTTTGATAAAAAACCGCCCGTTTTTCATTTTGTATCTGTCACGAACGCTTTTTGGTTCTTTGGATATAAAAAATGGAAAAGCGTTTTTTAAAAGATTTATTGGTCTTAATAAGCTCTTTTTGATAGTTTATTAATCTACGACCTGTTTTAACAAATGGTAACAGAATAGTATTTGTTGTATGCCCACACGTTATCAGACTTAGTTTATCTACAAATAAACAAATAATTCATAATATAAATAAGCAGAAAAGCCAAAAGTATACATCCCCTCTCGTGTAATTCAGGAACTATGATGATATTATGAACTGCTGGGTAGCACGTTAATCACCCAATTAAACTCAACTTTTGGACTCGTCGATGCTTTCTGAGATATATTCATATTGTATACTTTAGATAATGAATAAATGTTAGGGGTTTACTCTCGATTTGTCTCCATTTCTCAATTCGTCCCTTCTCATTTCATCCTTTAACATTGTTTTCTTGATTCGTTCCTCATATACACGCAGAGTCTAAATTATCCGACTTTTTAATTTATTTAATAAACTTGGTATAAAAGGACAACAATAACGATTAACAATATATAATTATATTGTTCTAACAGTCCTATCACATTTAATAGCCAGTTGAACATTATTTATTGTTCCTTTTGTATGTTCCCGAAGTAATTCTTTTAATTTTTTATCAAAATTACTGTGTAATCTTTTTCATTTTCTTGTTTGTATGTCTGATTCTTCTGTTCTTAAACTATAACATCATAAAGCTAAAGAAATTCTTCAGCTTTATGATGTTAATATAAATATTCATCATGTAACAATTGGATAAAATGATACATGTGTGGTTGTTTTGGAAAATGATTTTCCAGACGACTCTTGTATCCCTCAACGTAATATCCATAGGTTCATATAGGCTAGTAAGCTTCGTTTTTCATCCATCGTAAACGATCTCAAATTGTGGCTCACAGAACAGGAAAATATCATTAGCATGAAGCGGAAAAGATGCCAAATTATTATTGGTGTTATTTGTATACGAAGTTTGAAACTTCGTATACAAATAACAACAATAATAATTTAATAATAATGGACTTTTTTCAAGTAAATTTATTTAATAACTTATCCAATAAATTTACTTAAAAAAAAAACTTCGGAAAAAACGAGCCATACTTTTAAAGCTGGAGTTAAGTCGCATCGAATAACGTATGAAACTTGGTTCCATCATTTCACAGAAAAAACAGATAGGTTTGCAAAATGATTCACGCTTATTTGACATTGGTTCGAACGCCCATGGTGCACAGGCGTTTACCTTCAAAATGAAGCTAATACCATTTTTCTATTCAGTTTTCAACACTGAATAAGAAAAAAATAGTTTGAAAATCAAAATCAAACAAGATGAAAATTCAAAGTTTTTCACACAGAAAGGTTTTGTCGATTTTCGAGATTCTTCGGTTTTTCGACATGAAAAGCTCGTTCTAAAAAATTCAAAGTTATATATTTTGAATCAGTGTAAAATTCTCTTTCGAATGATGTATAACAAACTCGAAAAAATTTTTACTTGAAGCTTGAATTACCCGCGCCTTATATATTCTTTTAAAGTGAAAAAATGCTAACAAAAACGTGTGAACTAACACAACTAGAAACAGTAAAGCATATATATATATATAAACGTCTGTGGATAAAACGTAAAACAGGTAAATAAACGATACGACAGTCTGATTAAAGACGAGTAAAACGAAAAATAGTGAATAACAGCAAAACGAGAAAGGATAGAATGGCAGTGATTCAGCGAGTGGATCAGCCAGTTCAAAATTTGGTATACTCCAATAATATAATACATGAAAAACGGCTAACCAGCACGGTCGACCAGCAGGATTAATGTAGAAGTTAACAGTAAGACAAATTAAAAATTATCAAACTGTAAAGCTGCATAGCTTTTCTGCATAGGGCAGTGTCTTTTATTCTATTTGTTCATGTTTATTAAACGGAAAAATATGGGCGCTTTCCTCGAAAACAATCGAGAAATAGTAAGGCTCCGTTTTTTCGACTTTTTAGAAAACACGCAATATCTTAGCTGCAGAAGATCGTCGAACCATATGAATGCTATTTTCGGAATCAGTGGATGACAGTGGGTATAGAAAAGTGTATTTCGATTTTTCTGAGTCGCGAGAAGTCATTCAAAAAAATTCATTCTCAAAAGGCCTGAAAAAGGAGCACCCTCACAATGATGTGCTCTTATTAGGTTTTTCCAAAAATCTCTTACTCTGAAAGAGATTTTCAAGATGCTATGATGTTTTTGTTGAAATTTTAAAATATACGGTAAACGCTTTGTCTACCCCAGTGAAACTTCTTGTATCCAAGACCTTGGGTTAAGAAATACCACAAGATCTTGGAAAAAATACCAAGTCAAAATTTTGGATTCTTGAATCTTACACTCGAGATCTTGAAACTCAAGATCTTGGGAACGGAAAGCTGTGGAGTAAATCCACTCAAGAGCTTGAGTGGAAAATTTTTGTTTACATTTTGTTTTTATTTATGACAGTCATAGCCATCGGATACACGACCATATAGAGTCATAGATTCTTCCTTAAACAACTATGATTAGGAAGAAAAAAAATTCGAAGATATTCTAAGTGTGAAAATATTTGCACTTATATTTACACAAGGGTATGAAACAAAACGATGATTTAAGAATTTGCAAGCTCTTGGTACAAGAAGTCAAGAAATTACAAGATGTTGACTTCTTGAAATTACTTGAATTCTTATCAAGATCTTGAATCAGAATCTTACTGGAAAAATTCAAGAAGTCAAAACCTCGATTACAGGAAGTTTCCCTAGGATAAGCTTAGACGATAGAGAGTGCCTTCTCTGAGAAAACAACAAATAGCTGAAATTAGTTTTTTATTCCTTTTAATTTTCTGTTTCTTTGTTAGAGCTTCTTTGTGACAACCAGCACAGATTCAAGTCACCTTGTTACTGATCGATAGATGTTGGTTAAATCATTCGTCATCTCTACGTAGCCGTCAAACGTTTGTCATTCTGTAGTGTCGTATTTGTACTTATTTTCTACTATTTACAACAAAATTTTCTCCCTTCTTAGATTACGAAAATGTAACTTTTATTTCGTTTAAAAATGTCTTTTTTAAATATACGTTAGCAAAAATAGGATTATTGATACGATTATCTCGAAGCCGATGTTGTTAACTTTTTGCTCTTATTGATGAAAATAAAGAAAGTAAAATATTTTATGTAAATTCAGAAAGTGAAAAAAAAGGTATTTGATAGACTAGTTCTGCTGGAAAGATTAGACTATGCTGTTCATTAGACAATTGATTCCATCGGGTAAGATTTTAGAAAATAAGTTTTAATGTTATTCTTACAACTATACACCCCATTATAATTATTTGTCATAGTTAGATCCTAAATTTTGTTCTGATCACATTTTTCTTTTTTTACTGATGTGCGACTAGAAAATGTCATATAACTTCAAAAAAATTCATCCGTTGAACGCATTTTCTTGTTTATTTATCGGTTACTTACTTTTCTCGATTCATCAAAAAGATTCTGAATAAATCAGTGGCTATTGACTGTTTTTTTATTCAAATAAATAGCGATGTTGTTGTCTTTTGTTGTTGTGTTATGTTGACTTGTATATTTTAGAGCGTCGTACGTCGAATTTAAATGAACAATCATTACATCGTGATTCAACGATGAGTGTACTGCAACATCGAGTGGCTATCATCTCTTCCCAATATGTTTCAATAGATTCACCGCTAATCAATAATACTAGCTCGTCATCATGTGCCTATCGTAGTGGAAATTGTTCGCTTACAAATCAACAACAACGTTATAATGAACAACCGTTAGTGTGTACGATACCAAGCGCTGTGACACATAACGACGTCACTGATTTGCTAATAACAGCTCAGTGTATGAAACCAATTATTTCAATTAGAAATAAACGAAATTTTATGCCATATCAACAAGCACAAAATAGTTTTACACAGGTAACACCAACTACGTCAACAATATCGATTAGTCGAAATTCCAAGTCAAGATTATATCAAGAGAAAAAAGGTGAGAAATATAATTAGAAAAGTTCCACTTTTCTAATTGACACTAGTTGTTGTTGAACAAAATGATTGATGAAAAATGATTAGATATACACTAGACCGAAAAATTGATTCTTCGCCTCATTCTTCACGCATAATGGCTAAAATAATTCTGAGAAAAATAGCTGAAAGAGTTTCCAATCTGATGCGATTCCTCTATTAAAATTACTTGTTACCCAAGAACTCTTGAAAATAAAGGTTTCGAAATTCGACTCAAAAACTTTTGTAAGTAACCTCAGCGTATAGGTCAAACGTTTCTGAAGAAAACGAGACGTGTCTGAGCTCTCAACAGAAATTGCAGCAAAAAGTGCATTAAAGGGCTTTTCTTCAATTTTCTTTCAATACAATTTTTTCATGCAGTTTAATGAAAAAATATCAGCAGAACAATTTTCTTTTATATTTCATAATTAATTATCTAAAATATATTTTTCATACGGTAAAAAATGATTTTTATGCTTTTGTTTAGATGTGTACGATTATCCTGATCCGTGTACTAACTGTCCAACAGATATGTTAAATCGTTTATCTCAATTAACAAAACTTCAGTTGGATTCAATAGATTGGGAAAAGAAACGTAAACACGCAAAGAGAAGAAATGTTCTCTTTATTTAAAACTAGTCCCTGAAAATTGTTTGTATATGATGATTTGAGTGTATCACGTTCATATATGGACAACTGGAACTGGAACACCCACTGCGTCGAATGATTATTAGCTGGAATCTTGTACATTTATTTATATCACAACTGTTTCTTACAATATATTGCATTAAAAAATAACAATATCAGTTTTAAAATTGCTTTTTTGCAATATGTTCTATAGAAATTGGAAATCAATTTAACACACAAGTAACATGGAACAGTTCAAAAACATAAGTACTACACTGTTGGAGAAAACTATACCCAGATTAAACGGAACGGTACATTAACGGACGGTTAATAGTCAGTGTACAGTCACCTAAAAAAACGGCTAGTTAACGGCGTGAAAGCGGCATAAAAACATTCCGTTAACGTCACAGTAAACTGCCCGTTTCAAGAGTGTCAGCGCACGGTCTAAAAATGGATCGTTTATTGGTGTGACCGAGTGAAGTATGTGTTCTATACCGTAAACTGACCGTCTTTAGACCGTTTTGACGACAAGTCATTCACCTCTTTTTATTTCTCTTCCACTACTAGTATAAATGGAACGCTGATTTTCTTTGAATATAAGTTATAACTTAAGAAATTTTTCGCTTCCTCTAGTATATAAGTCGTAGACGCTTGTCTGGCGGGAGTAGCCTTAGCGGACGCACCTATACTAGTGATAGTACCATACTTCTGAGACTGGTAAACCATGATTCAAACGAATCCAAAAAATTGAAAAAAATTCAGAAAATAATATTTTTCAGCTCATGATCAAAAATAGTGAAATTTGAAATATGTACTGAAAACGGCTACATCAGACTCTCGAATCATGATACATCCATCACCTGGGAATTTATCAGTGATTCGATACGTGGCTACCCAACAGAGGACACTATTTAAAAATCTGATTTTTAGAAATTACTTTTCACGCAGTTGGACAGTCCACAGTTTTTTTCTTACAAAACACTGAGAACTGTTAACTCTCTGGTTCTATTCGTTCTTGAATTAGCTTAAAAATATTTGTGTATGCTAGATTTTGGAATGAACAATAGTACTGATGTACCAGATGTAAGTTTTCAACAGTTACGGTTATCTGTAACTGTGAAAACTTCAGAACTGTAAAACAGATATATTTGATAAACAAAACTGATCATAATTGTCAGAAAAAAATTATACACTGTAATTTTGAAAATTATTTATAGAAAATTGTCGTTGATTTTCAGAAAGTCCATATATGGAATCGCCGAGGATTTTTTTTCTATAATATAGAAAATCGAATTCCCAAGAATCTAGAAAATCATAGAAAATCCTCGGCAATTTCATATATGGACTTTCTGAAAATCAATGGCGATTTTCTATAAATAACTTTTAAGATTAAAGTGTACGAGAGCATGCTGGCAGTTAATCTAAAAAGAAGCAATCTAAAAATAAAAATAAAATTAATCTGAAAAAAAAACGCGTCAGTTTTTGCCGAACCTTGCACTTTTAATATACTTCTGCAGACGCAAAACAAAACAGTGAATATGTCGTGTATTGTCACCATGGAGAAATCTTGAAAACTATTTATAGAAAATCAATTGATTTCTATAAATCTAAAAATTCTCCTTGATTTTCAACATTCTCGAAAGTCGACTCGATTTTCAAGAATCTTTAAAATCAATCTTTTTCCATAAAGTTGGAAAATCGGTGAGGATTTTCTATTCAGTTCTTCTTCAGTTCTATAAATCTGAAAATCCTCAGAGATTTTATAGTCGATTTTCTATAAAACTGAAAATAATTCAAGATTACAGTGTACGTAAAAGCGAAGACCTGACCTGTCTTTTTGCTTTAAGCAATAAGAAAAGTATATGATAGTTTTTAACTATATCAGTTTTACAGTTTAGCAGTTACAGTTAACTGCTTTTTAACTGTAACTGCTGCATTCGTAATCGAAAGATCCATAATAAATCGCGGTCTCAGTATTTCTCCAATAACTATCTTACTTTTGATCGTGCAGACTTGAACTTTATTTTCAAAGGATTTACTGTTTCGTTCTCTACAAAAACCATATTGAACATATTTTTATATACTGTAAAAATAAAAGAATATAGATGAACCAATATGAAGCTTCAATTCTAATTAGTTGCTAATCCAAGACTCAGCAAAAAAAAATTCTTATTTTGAACACAATGTCTTGCATAATAGTGGAATAAAAACCATATGTTCTGGTTCTCTGAAAAATCATCGTTGTTTTTATCTACCATAGGTTCGCTTTAAACGTGCTTTTCTGCCATAAAAGGCAATTTTACTATAATTCATCAATACAAAGGGAAATTTCCACTCGTTTGCCTTGGTAAATCTCTCTGAAGCTATAAACTTTCTTTGTTTGGATGTAGTAGAAGAATCACTTCTTTTAAGACAAGACAAAATATTTCATTTTCACCATATTATAAAAATTTCCGTATGTACGGTAAAACTCTACTTTAGAAATGATGATTTTTAGTAAAATTGATAAAAGAATACACATTTTAAGAAGACTTTTCATTACGACAGATTGATAGAGCTTTTCATTGACTACAAATCATTCATCTCGTCTTGTGCTCTAGCGCAAAATATCAAATACTACAACGTTGTTTTTTGAGTTAGCCAGTATTGAAAACCAAAGCTTCACAGTAGTTCATCAATATAACAAAATCTGAAAGCTTCCCATTTCAAGAGAAATAATCTATTTTGAATTCTGATAGGCTTATTCGTACCTCTAGACCGTCTTCTTTAAAACTACACAAGTTCCAAATTCTTACTCTCATATGGGCATTTTCCAGGACCTACCTACCGGCTAAACTTCATGTTTGGGAACTTTCAAAACACATGGAACATAGGTTATCGATCACGTTGAATCTTATGGCAATGTTGGTTTTTCGAGAAAGCTTGAAAAACTAGTAAACTTCTATTCTAGCACCATGAACTTCTATAATAGTTTTAAAAACCAAGAGAAAGTACTGCAGTTTTGAAAATTTTGTACAAGCTTTGGGATTAAGCGAACGTTTCGCGCTAGTTTTTACTACAAAATACGATTAAGCACATAAAATGGAGTATATCTTGATATTTAGAAGCAGTTTTGATCAAGTTTGACTGAATTATCAATTCTTTAATTTTTGGTGAAAATACTGAAATCTGGATATACAAACATTTTTAAGTCATCACAGATG